AGAAGCGGTGATTGCTAAAGACGCGATTTTGAGGCGAGTATCCTTATCCTTAACCTTCCTTGTCTTAAGCATATCAACCACCGTTTCCACGCTACAAGACTTTAACGACCCAAACAAGTCATTCCAATAAAGCTTCTCGTGTAGAGGATTCTTCCTTTTCTTTCGCCTTGATGGAGGAACCCTATCACAGTTGAGGCCGATGACTATTGCAAACTCTCTAAGAGAGATCCTTATTGGGTATCCAGCAAAAACAAGCCAAATCTCGTAGAGCTTGCGGGTCTTCAACATACGAACACAGATGAAGTGACAGAACGCGCCGGAAAATGGAGGATTATCATCGAGAGAGAGGACCTTCGAGAATTGAGTTCGGTGGAAAAATGCTAACTCGTCCTCGTCTAATGCTTCAATTAGTTGCTCTGTTCTTCGATACTTGTGGTAAGAGACAACTCTGTCGCCTACTGGTTCATCACCACAAGCAAAATATCGTCTAGGAAGGCTGAAATTGGACATCGGAGGTTTTGGAAGAAGAAAGTCGGAAGTTTTTCAATTTAAAAACGAAGATTGAAAGAAGTGGGAAGATGGGAAGTTGAATTGCAGAGGGAGGTTACTATTTAGAGTGGTGGGATAAATTTTTACAGTTACCGTAATTAATGAATAATTTCAAATTTCAAAATATAAAGCATGCAAAAGATTTTACTGGAAAACAAAAAGGTTGACGGGAAATAAAACAAGCGTGGGACGAGCTCTGACACAGCTACCCGTAGGCGTGTGAGCCTAAGAGAGTAGTATATCGAAACACAGAAGGGTAAAATAGTCCGACTAAAAGAAAATGTCATATCAGAGTTAGTTCACTAATTAAATATGAGAACTAGGGTACTTTCGCAAATTAACTCATTAATAAGAAGCTATTAGAAATAACAACAGAAAGTGTATTTCGCAACAATTTTCGTAAATAAGTAGGAAGAAAAAGGGAGACAAATGTCATGTGAGAAGTGGGTGCACAATTAACAAAACTAAACAACTTCCATCGTCCTTTCCCTTTGGTCAGTTTTCTCGGCGCCTCACATGTTTTCACTATTTACATCTCCCAAATTTCTGTAGACAATTACTTTTACTTCTATGTTTTTAACATGTCCTTTACTTTGTCAACTTTAACTTGAAATAGTAGTATAATATAATAATATATGATATTATATCTGACTTACGCTATCTTTCCCCAAACCACCTCTTCGGAGTATTTATCTTGTAGTATTCTTTTTTTTTTTAATCCCCTTGGACATCGGATCTAGATTCGGTATAGCGCCCGCGTTTATATGTTTGTTTATTGACATGTTATGATCATGATATACTGCAAGGAAGCATTTGTATGCTGGTCGTCAATTTACTAGAGTTCCAATTCTTAGTCCAATTTTCCTAAGTTCAACAATTTGAGTCAATTGAAGGCTCTTCTCAAAAAAAAAAAAAAAACAACAATTTGAATCAATCAAGTAAATTTTCTAAGATAACGCTCTTTACTTGAAAACTATAGCCTTTTCACAGAAAAACATCAGTATTTGTTTCCACTGTTTATAACACTCATCATTGTTTTTTTATCACAACAGATAGTTTTTAAGAGTTTGAATCACAAAATAGAGAAAACATGCTTAAACTGTGTTCGAGATAGAAACACAAATTGCTAATACTAATGAATCACTTGGTTCATATCTTTCGTGCTTTCCAACAATAAATAACCCTTTTAACAAAACAATTGTTACTGTATATGGTTATTTTTGGTACAGTTCTGTAATAGTTTTTCATTCATATTTAATGGTGAAAAGTGGGTCAAACTCAAAATTTAAATTGTATAATCTGTAAAGAGAAAATATTAAATCCACATCTTTCCTAATTATCACGGATTGATCTAACTAAACATGACATAAATTTAAATATATAAAATATTACAAGAACAAAAAATGATAAAGTCAATAAATTTTACAATGATAATATAAAATGACATTTGTTTTAAAACGAAAATTTTAGTCTACAACGACAGTTAAATTGAAACGGATGGAATAATATTTTTCCATTTATATTTAATGGTGAGAAGTGGATCAAATTCAAAAATTTAAACTGTATAATCCTTAAAGAGAAAATATTAAATCTGCATCTCTTCTAATTAAAATAATTTATCAACAAATCTAGACTGAATTCACAAAATTATCACCGATTGATTTAACTAAATATGACATAAATTTAAATATATAAAATATTACAAGAACAAAAAAAAAAGGCAAAACAAAATTTAATTAACATAACTTTAGCTTGTAGTAACCAGCTAAAACCGTAAAAGCTTTCTATGCGCATGTTTACTGCTAAGAAAAAAGAAGATACACTATAAATTGTTTTTCAGCCAAAAAGGAATTGGGAAATAAAAGAATTTGTGATAAAAAGAGATGGGTCAGCTGTTGCAGAGTGTCAGACTTTCACAGATCTGACGATATTCTTGTAACCAAAAGTACAGAAGATGCTGAGACCGCATGTTCGTTTCTTGTTTGTGCCTCTCCATAACCACATTATTTAAATACATCATCTTATCACGAATATATTCACACAGATTTACTTTTAACACCTTCAATTCAAGTCATAACGTATACTAACTAAACTAATGTAAAAAAAAAAAAGAAGGTAAACTAAACTAATGGGTCTTGAAATTTTTCATTTCATTTCCACCTTGCAAGTTACAAGTTCAAGACTCCTCTTATCGAAAATTGATATTTTACATGAAAAGCAAGAACTCAACCTTACAAATTACAATATCATTCACAGTTTTTTACTTTTTGCAAACAGTAAAAGATATTTTACACAATAACTAGACCAAACCAGATATTTTGAATTAGCCTCCAACGCTCTTGTAACACATGGCACTTCATAGCTCACAGCTTTGAATTATAAATCTCATCTTTTGCTTTTCTCAGAAGTAAAAAAGATTCGCTTTCAAAGTAAAATATTCATATCATTTGACTTCTTTCTTTTTGTACAAATTTGTTTCCTCATCTTCGTAACCGACACCAAACAAAAAAAACTACAAACGAAAATACCCAAAATACCCTCCTCTTCTAATCTCTTTACACAAACATAGAAGAGAACCTGACCTTCCAAATATTTAATACTTTACAAAATGACCACAAATACTACATAACCCAAGAAAACTGCTTACTCCGTTACCTATATACACTCTTAGAAATAAAACAAACTCCAAATGATCGATCTCTTGTACTCTCTCAACTTCCCTCAAAGACTTCCACACATCTCCGTATAATTTTCACACATTATGTACGACGCACTAGTTGGTTTTGTGAGCTTAAATTCAACAGAGATAATATGTAGTTCTTTGAGATAGTTCTCTATGCCAAGGCAGGGATGCTGCAGTTTCTACTGTCCCTATCGAGGCAATCAAACCCTTCGATCCTAACCGCTGGGCTGTTACCAAAATTGCCTCTAACACATCCTCCTTTCCTCCCAGAGGAAGGAGACGAGGGAGGTTGGCCCAGCGGAGTCGTGAACATCGTAGGCGAAGAAGAGAATATTTCATCTCTGAATCGAGCATCTTGTGTTAATGGGTTAGCGACTCTGCTCGGCGGCGACCCACATAAAAACGGGGACGGCGAGTCTAATAACTGCGTTTGCGTTTGATGAACTTGTTCCGTACCATAACCATCCTGTCATGTCATGAACCACAACAAGAGTTTTAATATATTTTGTAAAAATACAAAGAGAAAAAGTGATGATGACGCGTGAATGTTCTGTAACTGGGACCCACTTATGTGTTGTAAGGATTTAACTCGCGACGTCTTAATCTAAATCTTCTGTCTTTTTAATTAAAGTTTCAGACAAGTCTCAAACTCAAACAAAGTTCACATGTTTTTTTATTATCAACAACCGTACACGATTATACTCTCTATTTATTTTTCTTTTTTTATTTTGTTAAATTAAAATTAATCAAGAAACCGACTTTCTACGGATCTACCAAGACGTACGTAACCAGAGTTTGATAAACAGACTTCACCTACCAAGAACTCAAAAAGACATGTACCTTTGTCAGAATGATATCTAAGATATCAGTCTCTGCCTTGGATTCAATTTGGTGGCTGTAACATCGCAGAGACCGAGAAGGATGGTGGATAGCGTTACGGAGACCAATACGACGTGGTTTTGGACAAACGACAACAGTCTGGTCTCTCTCCACCACTGAAACGGAGCTCCTCAGATCTCCTCCGGCAGAAAAAGCGTTTGGTTGAACCGCCCAGTGATTCATCGTTTTCTTTTTTTCTTCGATACAAAAAATTAAATGAAAATTTGTTGTTACCTGTTTCATATGAAACGTATTAGTCGATTGTTATTATAGATCTGACTAAAAATCTCCCTAAACAGTAGTCTCCATCACGTATAACCAAAGAAAGATTCACAGATCTAATTAAGCGAGGGTTACCTTAAGCTTAACTGTACAGCTTCTATTGCGAGAGAGCTATTGGTGATACGAGCTAAAACATAAATTTAATTATAGAGAGAAACGGAAAAAAAAAAGTTTAACTGAGAAGAAAAAGAGTTTTGGAAGAGAAAGGATGATGATGAAAGGCGTGAAAGTGTGTGGTAAGTGTTAGGCGAGAGAAGAGAGACGAGCCATGAAGCAGTGCCTTGTTCATTTATAGGGCCATACTACCTTATTAAAAGTCATTTTAATTTTTTAAAATAAATTATATTTTTTTTGGAAGATAAATATCAACCGAAAGAAATGCGGTTAGGTCTTCGGCCGCAAGAGCGCCCTCCTAGGTCTGGGTATGACTTTGATGAAAACTATTTTTTATATATATTGTATTTTAGAAAATTTAGATATGTTTTAGTTAGAAATAGAAATAATATATTTTGTTGGGTTCCAAATTTCACGGATTTTCCTAGAGTGTGATTGGACAGCGCTGGAATAAAACATAATTACAACGGTGAATACTTGAAAAATAAAGTGATAGAAAATAAGAAAGAAAAAAGTAACATAAATGTTACTCCCTCTCTTTGATAATAAGTGTTATTTTTTTGTTTCAAAAAATGTCATTCCACATTTCTAATATAATCTTACACATTAAATTTATCTTTCACCATTTTGAATAATCAATATAATTTTATTTAAATTATTTTATTTAATTAATAATATATTAAAAGAGACATGTTAGTATATTTTATGAGATTCATTATAAGTGTTATTTTAAGTTAATTTTTGTTTTGTTTTAAAAAATGTCTTTCTATGTTTCTAATGCAATTTTACACATTAGAATTGCTTCTACTCTTTTGAATAACTAATAAAATTTTATTTAAATTATTTTATCTAATTAATCATACATTATACATGAATATATTAGTATATTTTACAAGTTTTTAACTCGTGTAAAATATGTCAAAATAACACATTTTTAAAATGGAGGGAGTATTACTTTAGCAAGATGTAATCGAAAACTAAGTGAGTGTTTCCTCTTTCTTAATAGCATGTGGATTAAAATAAATAAAAAATATCATTTATTACTTGTTTGGTGAGTTTTAGTAAAAATTGAAACAAATTAAAAATTATAGTCAAATATTACTTTAAAAGTGTTATCCAATTACTTTTCAAAAATGACTAGATTAACAAGTTAAAATTAGCCAATTCCAACGATAATTGATATTTTATACTAACAATTTTGGGAATGAAAGACTAATAATTATAGTAAGTATGTACTCTTACAAGATTCAGAAATGTTTAGTTAACAAAATATTAAATATTAATATTATTTTGTTGTTAGATTTATAGTTCTTTTTAATGTGAAAATACATATTTGTAGTTATATATTTAAAATCTTATAATATATTTATTAAAACTGAATAAATTATTCCGTGTCTAAAGGATGAATTTTCTACAGTTCTCATGCATGTTAGAAATATATTAAATTTATGCTTCATTAATATATTATATATTTTCTGATAAATAGTGAAAAATAAATATTTAATTAATTAAAATAGTTTCAATTAATTTTAAGAGCTTACAACTTCTCAATAACAATTAATGAAAAGTATTTTATATAGAAAAATAAGAAAAAAGAAATGTTATCTCTGTGACAAAAACGTTATATATCAAAAATAAAAGAATAATGTACATATATATATATTAGTTTTCAGAGATAAAATAAATTTAAGTGCTTTTATCTATCGAAATTTTTATTGAATAAATTTAAGTATTCTAGACTTTGGTTTTATTGAATAACTTATCGATGGATATTATTGATATGAATTTCACGAATGTTATTTGTAGAGTACAAATGCCTTTGCATAAGAAAGTCATTGCTTTTTTTATTATTAATTAAAAACCTATGTTTATCATTATGCTCTGAAGTTCCTACAACCTGAGTTTTTTTTTTTTTTTTTTTAAAGGTTTACGTTCCTGAAGCATGATTCTCGAGTTGACAACCCTAGTGTTGTGTAATGATCTACATGTTAACATAACTCCGGAGCCCGGACCAAGACATCTTGTATATACTTCTTCTATTTTATTATAATTGTGGTTTTTGATTTGTATGGATTAAGAAAATAATTAATTTTATATATTTTATATAGAAAACACAATTACCAATACACCTAATTATATTTTAACCAATAGAAAAATAAATTGCATAGTAAAATTAACAAAATTTTGTATTAGAAAACCAAAAAGGACACTTATTCAATAATAATAAATTTTTTTCTCTACAACGACACTTAATATGAAACAGAGAGAGTATGTCTTTTCTTTTCCAAATTATCATCCCATAGCTCGTATTAACAAATAAAAATTCATTAGATCATGATCTGCACAAAATATTTTATGATGAAGCCACCAACAAATTAATTAATATATATTTTATTAATTTGTAAGAATTTTATGTATTTAATATATCTTTACATTTAAATTAGTTCTATAAATCTGACATGGATCTACCGTCAAATCAGTTAATCCAGTGATCTAGTAATTTGGTTTAGATTTTTAAAATATCCATATTTAAAATCAGTAAAAATCACTAATAACCGATTGAATCTATGGATGACTGCTATGTAATCCAAATTGACTTAAATTGTTATAGTTTTATAATTTGTGACTTTTTAATCCAAATTTTAAAGTTCATTATGTTACAATTTTCTGAAATTATGACATTTCTAAAAAAATAGATAGAAAAATTGATCGATATAAAATAATTAAAAACTATAAATATGTCTTGATCATATTACTCTTTTTATATAGCTTAATTAATTTTAGTTTAACTGCTTCGTGTAATTTATCTTGCTAATAATTTTTGTTTATACTGTAATCAGTTTGAATTTGTTTTTTACAATTAGTGTTAAGCAAATTGTATCGAAGAAAACAATTTGTTATTGTAAAAAACAAATTTAAACTGATTACAGTATAAACAAAAATTATTAGCAAGATAAATTACACGAAGCAGCTATAATAGAATTAATTAAGCTATATAAAAAGAGTAATATGATCAAGACAAATTAAAATAAAATAAAATTAATTAAGAAAATTTTATGAAATAGAAATAAAATAATTTGTTAAATTAATTGATTTGTTATTGATTGTAATATTTTGTAGTATCTAAACCTCTAAAAATAAGTTTCTATTGTTTTTATAAATTATTTGCGTTTTCAATTATTTAATTTATCAAAGTGTTTTGATAGAAAATTGTAAAACAAATATTAAAAAATAAGATTTAATGTTTTATGAGAACAAGATTAAGTATAGTGTAAAAGTAATGTTATGTCCAAAAGTAGCATTTTGTATTAATAAGATAGATGTGGATTTATCATTCTTTTGACAGGTTTGGTTTAAACAATATTTTATCATGTGAAAGACATATAAAACTTTAGTAATTCTCTGAAAACTGAACAATCTATTCTATTAATACAGAAGTAAAAAATAATATTTGCCTATTTTGAAGTGATTTTTCTGCAAATTTTCATTACATTTTTAATTGATTCTATTCACCTTATTTATTATTTTTCTAAATAATCACTTCATTTATTGTAATCACTTCATTTATTGTATTGCACAAATATGCAATTTAAATGGATTTGGTTTTGATGTATGAATATTTTAAAATCACTAATGTGTCCGAGATATGTTTGAATTTTTGTACCAAAACTAATCATATTAACCTATTCGGATATTTCAATTCAAGCTAAAATTAACCAAATAATCAAAAGTAATCATATTACACGGTTTGATTCAGATTCAGTTCTGATGTATAAAAATTAATAATATACAATTAATTATATGATGACATATACAAATATGTAACTTTTATTTTAGAAAAGTATATATTAGTTTATAGAATATAAATTCAATATCCGCGTAGGCGTGTAAGTCAATTTCTAGTGTTTATTAAAAATCAAATGCTATCTTTCAAACTCATTTAGTTGTTAACAATAAGTGATAATCTACAAAGGGAAGTGGTTATTAACCCATATCTTAAAAACTTTTGCCACACAAATTTAAAAAAGTCTAACACAATTTGTCATGAAATAATTGTTATAAAATAATGTTACAACTAAATTATTAAAATTACAGTTAAAATATCCTCTTGTAAATACTTTTGATAAAGAAAACAGATATATTTTATTTTATAAAAATATAATTAAATGTGAATTATACATAGCTTCATAACTCTATATATTATATATATTTTATAAGTAATTTATGTTGGTAGGGAAATTATAAGGTTGTTTGATTATAAATAGTATATACTATTAATAAGACTGATATATTTATTAAAATTATTTTAAAATATTTATAAATTATTTAGAACTGTGATAAGATATATGTTTATATCTCATCTAAAGTTATATCACATATATATTAATTAAGATTTTACCTGAGATTTTAAGGGTTTGTATATTATTTATAAGATTTTTTAGAAAATAATAGAGAACATTAACTTTTTGTTACTTACTTAATAGAAATTATTAAGTTTGTGTTAATTAGTTCAATAAAAATACAAGTAATTTATCTGATAAAATATAATTATTGTTATAAATATATTATTGCTATTTTAAAATCAGAACTTTAGAAATATATTTACCATTTTCTATTTGTTCTGGTCATACTTTAAACTTCCCATATAGCTACTTGATCTGCAAAAGTCAGATCTGTTAATATGGGTCACTCGACTGATCCTTCCTTAAATACTACTATACTAATCATAAACACCGTAGTTTTTGCTAAACAATCATAAGATATTATAAACAATCATAAGATATTAT